ACATTGAAAATATTCCCAGTTTTTTTTTGGGGGGGGGGGGGTGTATTTTCGGGAGTATAAAGCCACTTTTACATCTCCTTTACATATTTGGGGGTTTAAATATGTTTTTCCTCCAATGAGAAACGATGTAAATATAAGATATATAATTTTTTCTCTCTTTTCTCAGGTGGGTCTAGCCTACAAAAGATGTAAAAATAGATGTAAATGTACATTTTATTTTATATCTCCATGGTGGTGATGTATATTTACATCATTTTACATCTCCCCATTAGAGACGATTCCGGTGACAAGGGGTGTATATTTAACATACGCCCCCATATACACCCTCCCATTGTGGATGCTATAAGAATTTTGTTAAGGTCAGATACAACAATGAATGCCTCATGCATCAACATGACTTATCAAAAGCCACTCACAATCAACGTCGTCGTGGATCGTCGACACAACACCCTTGGTTACTAAACACTGTTTCCCTTCCAATGATACGAGAACCAAAGAATTTGTTGAGGTCAATCGCACAATCGTATGTCATTTCTAAGCGTTAATGAGATGCGGACTTCATGTGCATTACATGTTAACAATCTGACTGTAACATATCCCTAATAATAATTGAAATTTGCTTTTGTTTGGTTGTTCTAGTTTTAGAAAAGGCTTCAAAGCATGCTCAAAAGTCTTTAAGCCCAGGTCACCAATTGCAACTTGGAACTTTTTCGGGCCCATTATTAGTTTCCTCATGATTTTGCAAGAAAACCAATGGGGTGAATTTGCTAAAATACTATAACAAGCAAACAAATGTCACCTGGGGGCTACAAGTTACGTATACAGACCCTTGCCTAGTAGGCAATTTTTGCAAACAATATATCTGACATACAAGTTTCACTGCCGGTGATCATATACAAAGAGAAGGGAAAAAAAACAAATTTATATATTAAAAAAAAAAAAAAGTAAAAAAACACCAGCAGAAAGAATTACCAAGTCTAGTTTGAGCAGCATCCAATTCTCTTAAAAACAGAACTATCATCTTTGACATTTATGGTCTGTCCTTTGGACGGAACGGCAGTAGCACTTCCGTTGTTGCCTGCCTCAACTGCCCTCTTGCTTACCACCCGGTATATTTGAGTCAAGACTTCAGTAAATGCACTTTCTACATTGGTTGCTTCCAATGCAGAAGTTTCCATGAAGTAGAGGGACTCTCTTTCAGCAAAAGATTTACCATCCTCTTTTGAGACGGCCACCAGATGGCGAAGATCTGATTTGTTGCCAATGAGCATGACTACAATGTTGGGGTCAGTATGGTCCCTCAACTCCTTCAACCACCTTGCTACATTCTCAAATGTGGCTCCCCGAGTTACATCATACACTAGCAAAGCACCCACGGCTCCTCGGTAGTATGCACTTGTAATGGCTCGATATCTATAAGAAAAAGGAAATTAGTGGAAACTACAAAACAGCTGTTAATTTGACACAAATCATTAATGTTAGAATTTTAAATACCAACTTGCAACTATAGCAGTATTCTCTAGCGGGGAAACGACCAGACAATTGATTTGATATAATTTCCAGTTGGACATGACACTCAATTTAGGTAGATTCCAACGGAGACAAAATATGATGCACACGAAAATATAGCAGTCCAACTATTTGCAGCTTTGCACGCAGAATGGGACTGGGGATGAAATTCAAGCATTTATGCCATCTGATAACATTTTAGATACCAATATAACATCATGAATTGGTGAAAATAAAATGCCCTGATAACAGTTAGCTCCACTGAAAATTGAACATTCATGCAACTCATGTTCAAATGCCCTAAGGTGTAGTTATTGGCACAACAAATCATGGTAATTAGCATATACTGAACCACGAATTAGACAAAACATGCTATAGTCCCAGGCAGCATCAACAATAAGGCGGCAGCCAGCTGGTTTATCTGTCCCTCAGTGAACCTGGTGTTACCAAATGCAGTTAGTGTTGTTAGCCGTTCAAGCTTTTCCTAAAAATTATATTCTCCACACCAGGACTCAACAGGAATCAATCACTTACAGGCAGCTAGCAAAAATAACAAACATACATATGAAACGAACTAAAGCAGTAACTTGTGTATTTTGAGTACAGATATATGAAAGTCAAAAGCATTTGCGAATGCTAATCAGGTAAACTATTGTTCTAACATGACAATTAACTCATAGGAGAGGAGTGTTGTCACAATGAAAGCTAGAAATACGGTGGGATAAAAAACAAAAAGTTTTCCCGAAGCCAAACATCGAAGTAAGGTTTCATACTACAGCAGATGGCAAATACAAGTATTTCCATGAACTAAACAGAAATAAATGGCAGTTAAGAGCACTGCAGAGGTTCATTACACTTTACGAACAAAACTCAAAATTGAAAGTTTTCAAAATTCCTTCTTTTCCTCTGAGGATTGTTTGTAGGTAATGACTGAAAGTGCACTTTAGCATATAACTTCAAATTCATTTCTAAAGACATTCAATATAAAGACAACATCAAGCCAGATGGTCATTTTTCTATCAAATCAACAACTTGGATGCAAATGAGGGGACAGAGGAACACACCCTAGAGCACCTCCTCTAAAAAAATATCTGGAACCTGAACATATTGCAAAAAATCAAATTCTTCAGGTGCATCTTTCTACAAAGAAGGCTTAAAACGAAACTGTGGATTGCAATATTTAATCCAAATATAGACCAGGCATGCCTCTTTTGTGTAGAGGTGGTGGAAAACATTGACCACTAGTTGACATAATGTCCAGTTCTGAAAAGTGTCTAGATGTGTGTTGGCATGGTCTGCCAATACCCTAACACAAACTTACCTTTTCTCGATTGGGTTGAAGATACAGAGAACAAACAGATCACAAGCAGGGAATGACACTAGTAATTTGTTGGAAAAACCGTCGGCCTTGTGTTCGGAGCTCCGGGAACATGGTGTGCAACGTTATTCAAGAACCACAAGCCTAACCCTATTCAGGCCATTACTATTGCTACTAAATGTCTCTCAGACTTCGCCTGAGATACAACATCTTACAAAAAGAACCCAAATAATCCCCTCCCACAAAGAGGATCAAATGGAAACCCCCAGAGGAGCACTTCATTAAACACAACTTAGATCTAAGAAGCACGGACAAGGATACGGATACGGGGATACGATAAATTTCCAAAAATCAGGATACGATACGCCGTGGATATGGCAATTTAAAAAAAAAAAAAAAAATACTTCCACTTGTCTTGGTTATAATATTATTACTTTTAATAAGACAAACAAAACAAAATCCTTTTGTCAAAACGATAAGACCAGCCATCAAGTGGGGTGTGGGTGAAACTGTGAGTATTAAACAAACAAAATCCTTTGACCCAAAAAAAAAACAAACAAAATCCTTTTGTCAAAAGGATAAGACCAGCTATCAGAACAGAGAAGCACGTGTGAGAAAACAAAATGAAAATGGAGAAGAGAACCCAACGCCGCCGACAATGAAGAATGAAGAAGAAGAAATTGATGAGTAGGGGCGCCGCTGGATGAAGAAGAAAAAGGAAGATCTGGGCTTCTTAAGGATGAAGAAGAAGAAGGAAGATCTGGGCTTCTTATTTATATAGAAGAAGAAGGAAGATCTGAAAGAAGAAGTGGAGACGTTTTCTGATATGCGTATCCTAAACATCGGATACTTGTATCTGTAATGTCAGATATGCATATCTTTTTGTCGTTGACCGTATCCGTTTACTCGGATACGTATCCGTCGCGTATCCGCACGTATTCACAACGTATCGTATCCCCCAGTGTATTGGATACGGGATACGCACCTCAACCAGCGTATCCGTGCTTCTTAGACTTAGATGCTCCAGTAAAGAATACCAATCAAGTCAAATCTAGCTTTATCATAAAAAACTCTAATAAAACCCACTCTTTGCAGACACTACAGACCTAGACTTTGGTACTGTTCCAATGGCAGAATGCAAAGCCCTAAAGTGACTCCAAACTAGTAATTGACAGCACCACAAGCCAAAAGAAAAAACAAGCCATAGCAGTTGCTGGTCATGAGAGATATACACTCAGCTT